TTTGACCTTCTATTTTGAATGATAGCCTTGCTGGATAGAGTAGTCTTGGATTCAGATCCTTGTTTTTCATGACCTTTATTGCTTCATGCTATTCCCTTCTGGACAATAGTGTTTCTGTTGAGAAGTTAGCTGAGAGCCTTATGGGGTTTCCTTTGTAGGTAACCTTTTGCTTCTCTCTTGCTGCCTTTAGGATTGTCTCTTTGTCTTTAATTTTTGGCATTTTAATTACTATGTGTCTTGGTGTGGGCCTGTTTGGATTCTTCTTCCTTGGGGCTCTCTGTGCTTTTTGAACGTGAATGCCTTCTTCCTTCACCAAATTAGGGAAGTTTTCTGTCACCATTTCTTCAAATATATTCTCTAACCCTTGCTCATTTTCTTCTTCTTCAGGGACTCCTATGATTGTTACGTTTCCAGTTGTCTCACAGTTCTCTTAGGCTGTCTTCCTGTTTTATAATTGTTTTTTCCTTTTGGTTTTCTGCTTGGTTGATTTTTTTCTACCCTGTCTTCTAATTCAGCTTCCTCTACTCTGCTGTTTAGACCTTCCAATGTGTTCTTTATGTCTGAGATTTCATTCTTGATTTCTTCTTGTTGGTTTTTAATTTCCAATTGGTTGATTTTCAACATTTCTATGTATTTATTCATGGTGTTGATATCCTCACTGATGCTGTTGAGCTTCCTCAAGATCATGGCTCTGAATTCTAGCTGTGTTAACTTGCTTAACTGCTCCACATTTATGTAATTTTCTGTAGAGGTGTCTTATTCTTTTATTTGGTTTTTGATTCTTTGTTTCACCATTTTGACTATTACAGTGGGCTTTGGAGACTGCCAAATTTTCCGTGTGGGTATTGGTGTTCTGCTGTTTGTGGCTCCCTCTTTTGGGTTTGGATGAGCAAGGGAGGACCCACGTTAAACACTACTGTCAAGTCTTACTTTTCTGGTTAGAGTTGCTAGCCCAGTAATGGTTCATTTATTCTCTAGCTTTTTGCCTTGAGGCTATCAGTAGCCATTACTTGAAGAGCCTTGGGTTTTCAGTTAAGTGAAAAACTCCCTCAGGTGCTCAGCATAAGGGGATTTCCTGAGGATGGGGCAGATGCTGGTTGTTAATGAGCCTCAATTCGCATTTCAATGGCCCACCTGTGTGAGGTTGAATCTCCGAGGGAGGGGCTGCTGCCTATCCCCAGAGCCCTGGGAAGGAGTAAGATGACCACCCTCCTGTGTGGCTGCAACTTAGCAAAAGCTCTGAGTGCCCTCCAAATAATGAGTGTCCCCACACAGTTCCAGTCCAGTCCGCCCTCCCTCTGCTGGAGCCCAGGGTGAGTGGCTGTGGCTTTTTTAGTGTCTGTTCCGGCTCTGGGCTGTGGAGCCGCCTGGGAGTTTAACCCGAGGGCGCTGCTCACAGCTAAGATTGCTGCTGTCTGTGGGCTCCCAACCCCCTCTCGCGCCTCCGCAATCCTACCAGGATCGAGTCATTGTCCCTTGTTATATGGTCCTCGCAAGCTGCTTCTCTGTTGCTTTTTCCCGATGATTTGTCTTTATTTTAGTTGTAATTCCAGTTTGGTCCTGAGAGACGGTCTGTGTAGCTTCCATTCACTCCACTGCCATTTTGGAATCTCCTCCAAAGCTCCTGAATTTAGGCTTTAAGTTGGGAACTTTTCATGAGCATTTCTTTTTTTTTTCCCCATAAGCATTTCTTCCATGACAAATCCATTGTCCTTAAACCAAGCATATTGCAAATCACAGTTGTTGATCTTGCATAATGGTTGGAATAGTTGGCATGGAATGGTATTTTTTTTTTACATCTCACCTGAGGACATTTTTCCATTTTTGTTCAGATAGAGTGGGAGGGAGAGAGAGAGGAACATTGACATGAAAGGGACTCATTGAGTGACTGCCTTCTGCACAACCCCAGCCAGGACCAGGGCCAAATTGAAACCCAGGCACGTGCCCTTGACCGGAATCAAACCTGCAACTCATTGGTCTGTGGGCCAACGCTCTAACCTCTAAGCCAAAGCAACCAGGGCTGTAATGGTATTCTTTACTTTGTAATAAAAACTGCTTTTAGTTAAGTTTTTAAGCAGAATATTAGTTAATTGACATTGCCCTCATCAAATAAGAACAGTTGTAACCAGACTTCAAAAATATTATACTAGATATTGTTGGTTAAAATGGGGAGTAAAACTATATGTTTATTTTAAGGGGGAAAAGGATGCTGGCATTCTTGCAGAATTAAGGAAGAGTAGTTAAAAATTCATTTCATCAATTATATGGATTAGGAGAATTCATAATGCTGGCACATGAGCAAATAAATCTTAGCATTTTGTATTTAAATGGATTTTTTATTTTATAGTCATGTTTTCCTGAATAAGATATATATTCCTTTAAAAGTACAACAAGGTGCTCTGGCCGGTTTGGCTCAGCAGTTAGAGCGTCAACCTGCAGTCCAGAGAGACCCAGGTTCGGTTCTCGCTAAGGGCTCGTACCTCTGTTGCAGTTTGTACCCAGCCCTGGTTGGGTTGTGTGGGTGGCAACCACTCGATGTGTCCTTTTCACGTCGATGTTTTTCTCTCTCTCTCTCTCTTCCCCTCCCTCCCTCCCTCCCTCCCACTCTATCTGAACAAAATATGGAAAAATGTCCTCGGGTGAGGATAAAAAATAAAAGTACAACAAGGCAGCCCTGGCCAGTTTGGCTCAGCAGTTAAGCGTCAGCCCGCAGACCAGAGAGTCCCTGGTTCGGTTCCCGGTAAGGGCATGTACCTCAGTTGCAGTTTGTCCCCAACCCCAAGTGTGGGTGGCAACCAGTTGTGTCTCTCTTGCAGAGGTGTTTCTCTCTCTCTTCCCCCCTCCCTCCCTCCCACTCTGTCTGAAGATAAATGCAAAAAAATGTCCTCGGGTGAGGATAAGAAAAATAAAAGTACAACAATGCAGTACAAAGAATTTTTAGGATTTTTTTTTATAAAGTCATATGTATTTTTTTAATGTTTTTATTGATTTTTTTAGAGAAAGGAAGGGAGTGAGAGATAGAAACATCGATATGAGAGAGATACATCAGTCTGCTGCCTCCTGCACACCCCCCACACTGGGGATCTATGCCCTGACTGGGAATAGAACCAGGACCTCTCAGTCCATGGGACTACACTCAAACCACTGAGCCACACTGGCTGGGCAAGTCATACATTTTATGCTATGGTCTGTTTGGAGATTGTCTCCCCCCCACCCCCCCAATGATATGTCAAGTACATTTTTTCTTTTAAATAACTAAGTATATACATCATTTTTAATAACTGTAGAATGGTTAGGAGCACAGGTTTTGAGTCAACCAAAATTATCTCTTGCTAGCTATATGACCTTTTCTCTTTCCTAAAATTAAGTAATAAAGTTATATAATGGTATAAGTTGCTTATTACAATGATGCTTGTAACAAGTGTTTAATAAAAGGTATAAAATGCCATAAAAATGCCAACCTTTGTTGAACTAATTTCTTCCTGGTTAATATTTAGGTTGCTTGGAGTTTTTCATTGTTAGAATGCTGAACATCCTTGTATATAAGTGTTTTCGCATTTATCCCTGTAAGTTTACTTGCTAGAAGTGAGATTGTTGAATCAAAGTCTGAATATGTTTTATAGATTGATAGTTAGTTAGTATCAAGGTGTCTCTAGAAATATCTCCAAGATTTACACTTTTGCTAGCAATAAAATTAATTTATTAATTGGTGTTAGGAATAACAGGCCAGTTTCTTAGAAAAAAAAGTAAAACCATAAAAACAGCCTATTTTGCCCATTGTGGCTCAGTGAATTGAGCGTAGTCCCGTGGACTTGAGAGGTCCTTGTTTGATTCCCAATCAGAGTATGTGCCTAAGTTGCAGGCTCAGTCCCCAGTAGGGGGTGTGCAGCCGATCGATGTATCTCTCTCACATGGATGTTTCTCTCTCTCCCTTCCTCTCTCTCTAAAAAATCAATTAAAACATTAAAGACTTATTTTTTTCAAACCCATAGATTAGACTGAGTAATGCTAGATTCTATCATTCCAGTACTTACAGATCTAATACAAAAACACTTTATATTTCTTTGAATATTAGTGAAGGTAGATGTTAATTTTCTGAATTATCTTTGTATTTTTTGCCCATTTTTCTGTTTCAATATTGGGTTTGTAAGATATTTGTGTTAGAAACAGTAATCCTCTGTCATATTTGTTATAAATATTTGTCACTTGTTTTTCTTGTATATATATTTTTGTTTTTATTTCATACAGAATATTTGAATTTTTTGTTGTTGTTCATTCTCACCTGAGGATATTTTTTCATTGAATTTTAGATAGAGTAGAGGAAGGAGGGAGAAAGAGAAACATTGATGTGAGAGAGACACATTGATTGGTTACCTCCCGCATGACCCCAACCAGGGCTAGGGATCAAATCTGCAACCCAGGTATACATATGCCCTTGACCGGACCAATACTCTAAGCGCTGAGCCAAATCTGCCACGGCAGAATATTTGAATTTTTTGTAGTCAAATTGAACATTTTACTTTGTGTTCTTTTTATAAATACCTTTGATTTGGCATTTATATTGGTATAAAAACATGGGGAGAACAGCTTAACTTTTCTCCAAATAATTAGCCTGTCATTCCAACATCATTTATTAAATGATCTCTCTTTCCCTCTAATAGGAAACACCAGGAATCTGCAGTTGGATCTATATCTGTACTGTTCTGTTTCAGTCATATGTTTGCCTATTCCTGGATCAGTTTTATGCTTTTGGTCTTTATTATCATAGTTTTAGAATAAGTTTTAATATCTGATAGTATTTTATTCCCCTTTCACTTCTTTTTTGTAATTCTTCTTGATATTGGTGCATATTTTGTTTTCCAAATGAGCTTTATAATGATGTGTCAAGTTCCCAAAAGAATCTTAGCAGGTTTTTGATTGGAAAAATATTATTAATGTTTTATGGAGGAGGGGGTGTTGTTTGTATTGCCTACTTCACCCTTCTCTCATCTTTCCTCTAGAAATTCCAGAATCAAGTATATCACCAGATACCAGCACTGTCCCACCCACCTCTGCATCAAACCAGCAGAAAGAAAAGAAGAAAAAGAAAAAAGACCCTTCAAAGGGCAGATGGGTAGAAGGCATAACATCTGAGGGTTACCATTACTATTATGATCTTATCAGTGGAGGTAGGTCATGTATTCATAAAACTACAGAGAATGATAACAGTTTATTTTGTCTTTAGACTCCTCGTTAGTATTGGAATATTTAAACAGTAAAAGACTGTAACTGTACATTTTTGCCAAAATGGTAAAAAAAAAAATTATGTGCCCTTTAAAAAGGTACCATTCTCGCCCTGGCTGGTTTGGCTCAGCGGTTAGAGCATCAGCCTGCAGTCTGGAGAGACCCGGGTTCCGTTCCTGCTAAGGGCACGTACCTCAGTTGCAGTTTGTCCCCGGCCCTGGTTGGGTCGTGTGGGTTGCAATCGCTCGATGAGTCCCTTTCACATCGATGTTTCTCTCTCTCCCTCTCTCCCTGAACAAAATATCAAAAAATGTCCTCGGGTGAGGATTAAAAATAAAAAACAAAATAAAAAGGTACCCTTCTCACCCTGGCTGGTTTGGCTTAGCGGTTAGAGTATCAGCCTGCGGACTAGAGTCGCAGGTTCGATTCCAGTCAAGGGCACATACCTCCGTTCCAGTTCAGTCCCAGCCCTGGTTGGGGTTGTGCAGGAGGCAACCAATCAGTGTCTCTCTTTTTCTCTCTTTCACCCTCCGTCCCTCCCTCCCTCCCTCTCTCTCTCTCTCTCTCTCACTCGCTCTCTTTCCCTCCCTCCCTCTCTCACCCCCTATCTGAAGATAAATGGAAAAATATCCTCAGATGAGGATTTTAAAAAATAAATAAATAAAATGAAAATGTACCCTTCTCATAGTGACTCAGTGTCATAGTTAAAGCCCTTAATAGTGGGTTCTTCACAAATAATAAACTAAAGCTTTATATTTTCTCAGTAAAACATTCTAGAACAATGAACTACATGTAAATAAAGCATTTTACATGGAATTAAGGGATTCCATATAATTCCAATTTGGAATTAAGGGATTCCAAATTGCAGGGATTCTTGAAGTAAAATATTCTGTGGGAGAGATTTTGTATCCAAAAGCAGACTAAGACCCAGAAACTGATTTCTTTTTTGTGTAGCTATCTTGGTTGAGTTAGTGAAGTACCCTCCCTCATTAATGTTTTGGATATCAATTACTAATAAAATATACAATGGTATCTTAAACATCTTATTTTCCTTTAAAACTAAATGTATTTGGGATTTTTATTTTGTATAAATTTATAAGTAAATGCATTTATTCCACATTTACTCTCCAGAAACACAAAATTTAGTATTAGAAATAAACAACTAAACGGGATACAAGGAGGAATTTTAAAGAACTATAATGTAATAGAGATGTAATAAAGATTATACAGAAGCCAAAATAGTGAGGAATTAATTGTGATTATGTGACTCTGAGAGTATCACAGAAATTACTTATGAGCTGTCAGGAATGATGTCATCGTACTATTTTTATTTCTAGCATTTAATGCAGTGTGCCTGGCATGGCGCAGACACTCCATAGGTATTTTTATTGAAAATGATTGCAGTATTTTGTTATGAGGGTACAGCATGCATTCCAGACAGGTAGAACAACAGGTTTGAGCCCTGGCTGGGTGGCTCAGTTGATTGGAGCATCATCCCATGCACCTAAAAAAGTTGCAGGATCAATCCTTTGTTGGGGAGCATTTGAGAGGCAACTGATAAATGTCTCTCTCTCTCACTCTCATTCCCACCCTCCTTCCTCTCTCTAAAAGTTCAATAAAAAGCATATCACCAGAGGATATGTTAATAATAGGTTAACTTTTAGAACAAAGAAGATTTGAAAGTTTGGAAAATAAAGTTATCTGTTAGAGGTAAAACATAAAGTTCTTTGAAGACATCATGGTAAAAGAGGCTGGAAAAATAGATTGGGGCAATATCATGGAGGGTTGGGAGGAGGATGGTACCCTTTACTGAGATAAAATATGGAAACATAACACAGTAATTAATTCAGTTTTGGATATGTTGAGATTGAGGTACATAAGAATATTCATGTGGCAATTTTCAGTAGCTAATTGATGATTAGAATTGGGAGTTAGGAAGGTAAATTGAGTCTGGGAATGTAGATGATAGGTTAACTTTTAGGAATATGTGAGATAACGATAAAGAAGAGAACAAAAAGTAACATGTGGTGGGTAGTACATATATTGAAGGAATGGACAGAAGAAAAGCTAGAAAAAATAGTTAAGAATGGACAGGGAGACAGGAAATGTGATCAGAGTTAATCATGAAGAAAACCTTGAGCTATAAATATTATTGTCATTGTGATCTTTAGAATCACAGTCAGGTTCGAACTGTACAGAAATAGTAATAATCACTCAGTTTTCACTGACCTTAAGTGAAGTGCATGTTATAGTGGTGAATCACAAATTATTTTATGCTAGGGATTATACGTCTTGAAGTTTATATATATATATAAACCATTATGTCTTTTCTCCCTTCTAATGCCTGTTGCTTGCTTCCTTTTTTTTACCATCCTACTTTATATACTCTTTCTCAGCAATGCTTGTTTTTAATTCCTGAATATTTCATCTTTTTTAAGTCATTCATTCTATCTCTCTCTCTTCCCTCCCAAAATGTCAAAAGCCTGTGTCATTCCTTTCAGATTTATCAAGCTTGTCTTTCATTAAGTCTTTAAGAGAAGCCCTACCTGGCTCTAATAATAAGTCCTGTGGTAGTATCAGTAACTCCTGGTCCTTCTGTCTTTCCTTGGTTACGTAGGATTCACATGTATTGTTCTGCACAATACTATTTGGATGTATGTTGGTTCTTTATATTTTTCAATTATGTTTTTAACTGTAGACCTTAGTGTTTTGTACACATTGAATAGCTTATAAATTTTTATCAAATTGAATTTTTTAGAAATTTTTTATTTTTAAGCAGAGATTTTATAAATGCAATCAATATATTTTGCTTTAAGCATCTCAGTGGGAGAAACCTGAAGGATTTCAAGGAAACTTAAAAAAGGTAATTGAAGTACATTAATAGTGTCTTTGCTTTATTCTTTAAAGTGATTGGCTTCTGGGGTTTTTGTAGTTTTATTAAGCAAATTTACTTTTAAATAAGCCGCTCCCCCCCCCCCCAAACTCTTTGATTCTTTCTTTCTATAATCCTTTTGTTAGAAGGCTGGGTGGAGTAATGTCTATCCAAAAACTCTGTACAGAGCAAATATCATTAGTTGCTATCCACATGTCCCTGTCTATCTGTGAAAAATTGTTCCTAGCTTTCAAAGGTGAGACATTCTTTTTCTGAAAATTGGCTTATAATTAACACAAACCTTCCTGGCCACGATCATTACCACTACCCCTAACTCCTAGGTTTAAAGAGGAAAGGAAAGGGTGGCTAATTCTGCCTTAGTTATTTAATATATAACCACATTGTTTTCAATCTGCTATTTTTTTTTCCTCTCATTAGACAGCAGGGAAGGCTGTTTGGGTAGAAGGTTTAAGTGAAGATGGTTATACCTATTATTATAATACAGAAACAGGAGGTAAGTATTATCTTTGATTATCTTAACTATCTAAAATTATACCTAAAACTGCTTATTAGCCTGATGATGAAATCATCTGAACTGGCAAATTTTAGTACATAAATAGTGATAAACATATTTTTATAGCAAGTGTGTATTATTTTTGTAATTTCAAAACAATACAATGGAAAAGTAAAAGGATTTCTATATGTAATATACTATACTGTGCTATGTAATTAATTCTCAGTTGCTACAGCATTTACAAATTTTAAAAATTGAGTCATTTTGCCCAGCCAGTGTGGCTCAGTGGTTGAGCGTCGACCCATGGACCAAGAGGTCACCAGTTCGATTCTCTGTGAGGGCACATGCCCGGGTTGTGGGCCAAATCCCCCGTGGGGGCATACAGGAGGCAGGCAATCCATGTTGTCTTTCATTGATGTTTCTATCTCTCCCTCTCCCTTCCTCTCAAAATCAATTTAAAGAATTATTTTTTTAAATTAAGTCATTTTTACTTTCCTACCATTACTGATTTTTATCATGATTATTTTAGAAATATAATCATTACCTTGGAAAGTACCTTAAAGATCACCTATTTGAACTTGCCTTTTCCTTTTTTATTTTTTTACTATTTTTATTTATTTTTAGAGAAGAAAGGAGAAGGAAAGAGAAAGAGAAACATCAATGTGAAAGTGAAACATCAGTCAGCTGCCTTCTAAACACCCCCTATTGGGGATTGAGCTTGAAACTGAGGCATGTGCCCTAACTGGTAATCAAACCCACAGCCTGTCAATATACAGGATGACACCCAACAAACTAAGCCACACCAGCTAGGGCACCTTTTCCTAACACAAAACTGCCTGGCCATGGTGGCTCAGTTGGTTGGGCATCATCCTGTGCACTGAAAGGTTATTGGTTCAATTCCTGGTTAGGGCACATACCCAGATTGTGGGCTCGTTCCCTAGTTGGGAAGCTGATCAATGTTTTACTTTCACATCAATGTTTCTCTCCCTTGCGTGCTCTCTCACTCTCTCTCAAAATCAATTAAAAAATCTTTTTAAAAAAACATGATGTTTTTGCAGTGGCTGAGGTTGTCAAAATTTCACTTTCACCAGTTTAGTAATGTTCCAGTTAGCCCTGGCCGGTTTGGCTCAGCGGTTAGAGCGTCAGCCCATGGTCCACAGAGACCCAGGTTCCATTCCCACTGGGGGCACGTACCTCAGTTGCAGTTTGTCCCCAGGCCCGTTTGGTGTCATGTGGGTGGCAACCACTCAATGTGTTTCTCTTACTTCAATGTTTCTCTCTCTTCCTCCCTCTCTCCCTCCCACTCTATCTGAAATGTCCTGGGGTGAGGATAAAAAAAATGAGTAAATAAATAATGTTTCAGTTATATAAGTATTTCTAAAACATACCTAATTATTGTTACCTAATTACCTTTTTTCAAATTAAAATATCTAATTTCATAAAATTGTCTTTCAAGTAATTATACTTGATTTGTTCTGTATTAAACTTACTAAAACAGCTATAATATTGTTGTAACTTTGACAGGTTTTTGATTTGTATTTTAATTCCTACTAACCAAAGCCCTCTGCATAGCTTTAAGTCTTTTAGAAGGAAAAGGCAAGCTAGGTATCTAGCCTGCCCAGTGATGGCAATGGTTCTGTCTCAGTTAAGCTGAGATACTGAATCTTTATAGATATTAAGTAATAGATAATGTAGCGCTAGAGTTAGATCTGAGCTCAATGCACAGCTTCTTTCCTTACCAGGTATATAATTGTGGGCAAGTCACTGAGCCTGGAGGTGCTCTTAAGTAAAATAGAGATGATCATGTATTCTGTGGGGTCATGAGAGTTAAGTGTCTACAAAGTTCCCAAGACAGTGTCTGGTACATATTAGATGCTTAATAAATTATTTATTTCCTGAGAAGTCTTTTGTTACATATGTAAAACAGAGACAAAGAAAAGTAATTTTTTTTTTTTCTAGTGCTTGAAAGTGCTGTATGTATTGATTTGTCGTCAAAAGTTTCTCTTTATGTCTGGATCATTTTGGCTCCCAATTGGACAATAAAATTTAGGATCCCTCTCCCTTTCATTAAACTAAAAACATAGAATAACTGCAAGATAATTAGAAATGCTGTAATTTTACTAAAAGCCCAATAAACCACTGGGTGGCAGTAGAGTTCAATTGAATTTTTTTTCCTACAATAAAATGACAAATTATATTCATTTGGATTTTTACAGTATGATCTCACTTTGTTAAGATCCCAGGCAATCTTTGTGGTAAATAAATTCCAGGAAATCTGATATGTGCTCATTATTACATATGTTTCCTGAAATTGGTGTCAAATTGTAGTAGTCCGTAGAAAGTGTTACCTGGTTCTTAGTCTTTTTTCCATCAGGGCTATAGTTGATATATCTAGTGAATCAAGACTGTTTGAAGTATATTTCTGAAAAATACAAGAGCAAGAGTTTACAGAATTCTTATTGATTATGTTCTTGATCAAGCGATGGTGTAAACTAGATTCAGTGTTGTCAATAATGTAAGTGACAGGAAGCTTTATATTGAGAATTATTTCTGAACTGAATTAGTAACCAAGTAATATGACTGTCAAAATGTATTGAATAGAATCCAGATGGGAAAAACCTGATGATTTCATTCCACACTCTGGCGATCTGCTTTCTAGTAAAGTCAATGAAAAGTCACTTGGCACCTTAGAAGAGTCCAAATCATCAGATTCACATAGTGATTCTGATGGGGAACAGGAAGCACAAAAAGTAGAGGTCTCTACAGAAACGCCAAAGCTAAAAATAAAGTTTAAGGTAGGTTCTGGATTTACTTTTCACAAAAGTTTATAAATTTATAAAGTTCTCTACTGACTTTCTTCAGTTTTCTGGTAGAAGATAGACATAAACCAAGACGTGTATTTTGGCAACTGAATAAATAGTTGTATAATTTATTGATATCTATTTGGTGGTAAGATAGTAAATTATTTTTAGACTTCCTAAGCCTGAGCTCCCTCTGCAACATTGAGAGCTGTCTGAACATGCAAATCTGAATGTCTAGGCTACAAATGCTATTTGAGTGTCATCAACACACTGGTAGCAATTTAAATCTCAGAATGGGTGCAGTAATCTGGGAAAATGACCTTGGAGAACATTAAACACTTAAGTGGCAGACAGAGAAAGAAAGAGGAGCCCACAAAGTAGAATGAGAAAAGAGTGATTAGAAAGGTGTGCAGAGAAGCAGAAGAATTTAATACCCCAGAAGTCAAAGGAATAGCATCAAGGAATTAGTCCTAGAAAAAGAAAAATGTGCCCTGGCCAGTTTGGCTCAGCGATTAGAGTGTCATTCCGTGGACCAGAGAGTCCGGGGTTCGGTTCCCGCTAAGGGCACGTATCTCGGTTGCAGTTTGTCCCCAGCCCCGGTTGGGGTTGTGTGGGTGGCAACCAGTCGATGTGCCTCTCTCACGTCGATGTTTCTCTCTTCCCTCTTCTCTCCCTCTCGCTCTATCTGAAGATAAATGTGTAAAAATGTCCTCGGATGAGGATAAAACAAAAATTTTAAAAATAAATACTTAAAAATTAAAATTAAAGAAAAAGAAAAATGCTCATTGAATTTTGTAGTATTGAAGTTCTTGATCCCCATCTAGCAATTTCACCAGAATTTTGGATGGCAGAACTCAGATTACAGGGGGATGAAAAGTGGTTCACTATATGATATATAGAGTTTGGATATGAAATGAAAACATAAAATAGATGATAGTATGTTGGCTACATATTAATCATGAGAAATATGTGGTGGTGATGTTTTTGTTGAGAGGGACCCCAAAGGAGGTAGAAAGGGAATACCAACAAGGATAGATGGATAGGTTAGTCTTGAACAAGGAATAAACTCATTTTCTGTAAGAAGGAAGGTTTTCATTTTCTTTAAGAAGGAATGACTACGGATGAGTTGGTATCAGAGAGGAAATTAAGAGTCATGCCATTTAGTCTCAGTTTACTCATTCATAAAGAAATCAAGATTGCTAAGAGTGAGGAGCTTTGCTGAGCTTGACATTAATGGATTGAAATAGTTACTGAGCAGAGATGGGAGAGGAAGTGAAACAAGTAAGAAGACTGACAGGTGGTGCTGAGTGCCCAGCCATGGTGGGAAAGTAAAAACATTTATACAGCATTACTAGTCCTCCTGCTTTTATGACCTTTCCAAGAACACTCAGGAACCCAGATGCCAAAGCAGACAAGACACATAGCATTGATCCATGATTGAGATTGCTGCCCTGAGGGTTGAAGGAATATCAAGGATGCTGGAGAGAGAGTACTTGAAGCACACAGCTAGGATCTTGTCATTTCCTGAGATTTCTCTATCTACCCCATAAATCTTGGTGTAACTTAGGGTGATGGATGTATCCAGTTTGTAGAGGACAAGCACCAAAGAACTTATAGTAGTAGCTATCTCACAGTGCTTTGTTTTTTTTTTTTTAATTTATTTATTTTTGTTACAGACGTTTCTCCTTTTTCCCCCACCCTCACTGCCCTGTTCCCAGCTTTGTTGTCCATGTCCATTGTTCATGCATATAAGTTCTATGGTTTCTCTCTACCCCGTCTTCTGGGGATTGTCAGTCTGTACCCCACTTCCACGTCTCTGGGACTACCCCGTTCCTCAGACTGTTATGTTCATTGTATTCCACAAATAAGTAAGATCATGTGGTATTTGTTTTTTCTGCTTGGCTTGTTTTGCTTAGGATAATACTCTTCAGATCCTTACATGTCGTCTCGAAGGATAAGAGATCTTTTTTTCTTAACAGCTGCATAGTACTCCATTGTGTACATGTACCATAGCTTTTTTATCCATTTGTCTACTGATGGACACTTGGGCTGTTTCCAGATCTTAGCTATTGTAAATAGTGCTGCTATGAACATGGGGGTACATATATTCTTTCTGATTGGTGTTTCAGGCTTCTTAGGGTATATTCCTAGAAGTGGGATCACTGGGTCAAATGGAAGTTCAATTTTTAATTTTTTGAGGTAACACCATATTATTTTCCATAGTGGCTGCGCCAGTCTGCATTCCCACCAGCAGTGTACTAGAGTCCCCTTTTCTCTTCACCCTCGCCAACACTTGTTTGATGATTTTTTGATGGCAGCCATTCTGACAGGTATGAGGTGATAGCCCATTGTTGTTTTAATTTGCATCTCACTGATGAATAGTGATGTTGAGCATTTCTTCATATGTCTCTTGGCCATTTGTATGTCCTGTTTGGAGAGGTGTCTATTCAGCTCCTCTGGCCATTTTTTAATTGGATTCTTTGTCTTCCTTTTGTTGAGCTATATAAGCACTCTATATTTATTGGAAATTAACCCCTTATCTGAGTATCATTGGCAATGATGCTCTCCCATAGAGTGAGTTGCCTTCCCATTTTGATGGTTGTTTCTTTTGTTGTGCAGAAGCTTTTTAGTTTGATGTAGTCCCATGTGTTCATTTTCTCCTTTGTTTCTGTTGCCTTAAGTGACGTATCAGTGAAAATTCTGCGTATGATATCTGAAATTTTGTTGCCTACATTTTCTTTTAGGATGTTTATGGATTCATGAGTTACATTTAAGTCTTTTATCCATTTTGAGTTTATTCTTGTGTATGGTGTAAGTTGATGGTCTAGTTTCATTTTTTGCATGTAGCTGTCCAATTTTCCCAACACCATCTATTAAAGAGGCTGTCTTTACTCCACTATATGCTCTTGCCCCCTTTGTCAAATATTAATTGAGCATATTGTCTTGGGTCCATTTCTGGGTTCTCTATTCTGTTCCATTGGTCTATCTGCCTGTTCTTGTGCCAGTACCAGGCTGTTTTGATTACAGTGGCTTTGTAGTATAACCTGAAATCTGATAATGTCATCCTTCCAACTTTGTTCTTTTTCAAGATTGCTGTGGCTATTCGGGGTCTTTTTTGGTTCCATATGAACTTTTGAAGTATTTGTTCTAGTTCTGTGAAGTATGTCGTTGGTATTTTGATGGGAATTGCATTGAATCTGTAGATTGCTTTGGGTAGTATGGGCATTTTAATGATGTTAATGTTTCCAATCCATGAACAAGGTATGCGCTTCCACTTTTTTATATCTTCCTCTATTTCTTTTTTCAATGACCCGTAGTTTTCTGCAAATAGGTCCTTTATTTATTTGGTTAAGTTTATTCCTAGGTATCTTAATTGTTTTGCCGTGATGGTAAATGGGATGTTTTTTAGTTTCTCTTTCTGTGAGTTCATCATTGGTGTATAAGGATGCCATCGATTCTTGATGTTAATTTTGTATCCTGCTACTTTGCCAAATTCATTTATTAAGTCTAGTAAATTTTCGATGGAGTCTTTAGGGTTTTCTACGTATAGTATCATGTCACCTGTGAATAATGACAGTTTCACTTCCTCCTTTCCTATTTGAATTCCTTTTATTTTTTCTTCCTGTCTCATTGCTGTGGCTAAGACTTCCAGTACTATGTTAAATAAGAGAGGGGAAAGTGGGCATCCTTGTCTTGTTCCTGTTCTTAAGGGAAATGCTTTTAGTTTTGGCCATTGAGTATAATGTTGGATGTAGGTCTTTCATATATGGCCTTTATTATGTTGCGATATGATCCCTCTATTCCCACATTGCTGAGCATTTTTATCAGAAATGGGTGCTGGATTTTGTCAAATGCTTTTTCAGCGTCTATTGATATGATCATGTGGTTTTTATTCATTTTGTTTATGTGGTGTATCACATTTACTGATTTGCGAATATTGTACCTGCCTTGCATCCCTGGGATGAATCACACTTGGTCATGGTGAATAATTTTTTTGATGTATTGCTGGATTCAATTTGTTACTATTTTGTTCAGGATTTTGGCATCTATGTACATCAGGGATATTAGCCTGTAGTTTTCTTTTTTTGTAGTGTCTTTTTCTGTTTATGGAATTAGAATTATGCTGGCCTCAAAAAATGAGTTTGGAAGTCTTCCTTCTTCCTGAATTTTTTAAAATAGTTTGAGGAGAATGGGTATTAGTTCTTCTTTGAATGTTCAGTAAAATTCCCCCATGAAGCCATCCGGGCCTGGGCTTTTGACTGCTGGGAGAGTTTTGATTACATCTTCAATTTCTTTCGTTGTTATTGGTCTGTTCAAGTTTTCTATCTGTTCCCGGTTCAGTTTTGGGAGACTACATATAGTTTCTAGAAATTTGTCCATTTTGCTTAGATTGTCATATTGGTTGCCGTATAATTGTCATAGTATTTGTTAACAATCTTTTGTATTTCTGTAGTGTTAGTTATTTCTTCTCTTTCATATCTGATTTTGTATATTTGGGTTCTCTTTGCTTCTTGGTGAGTCTAGGTAAGGGTCCATTAATCTTGTTTATCTTTTTTTAAAGAACCAGCTCTTGGTTCCATTGATCTTTTGAATTGTTTTTTTGGTCTCCATGTCATTTATTTCTGCTCTGATCTTGACTATTTCCTTCCTTCTATTTGCTCTGGGGTTCTTTTTGGTTGCCCTCTAGTTCTTTAAGTTGTGAGGTTAGATAGTTTATTATAAATTTTTTCCGTTTTTTGAGGTAGGCCTATAATGCTATGAACTTCCCTCTCCGAACTGCTTTCGCTGCATCACATGGATTTTGTGTTTTTGTGTGTTCTTTTTTTTTTTAATCCTCACCTAAGGACATTTTTCCACATTTTATTCAGATAGAGTAGGAGAGAAAGAGAGAGCGAGAGAAACATCAACGTGAAAGAGACACATCAAGTGGTTGCCACCCACACGACCCAACCCGGGCCGAGGACAAACTGCAACCGAGGTATGTGCCCTTAGCGGGAACCGAACCCGGGTCTCTCTGGACCGCAGGGCAACGCTGTAACCGCTGAGCCAAAGCGGCCAGAGTGTGTGTTCATTTTCATTGGTTTCCAGTAAGTTTTTAATTTCTTCCTTGATCTCCATGGTGACCTATTCATTGTTCAATAACATGCTGTATAGCCTCCATGTTTTCAAATGTCTTTGCATGTTCTTGTTGCAGTTGATTTTTAGTTTCATGCCAGTGTGATCTGAGAAGATGCTTGTTATGATTTCAATCTTCTTAAACTTGTAGAGACTTGGTTTGTGCCCTAACATGTGCTCTGTCTCTGAGAATGTCCCATGTGCACTTGAGAACAATGTGAATTCTGTAGTTTGGGGGTATAATTCTCTGTAAATATCTATGCAGTCCATTTGATCTAGCTCTTCATTTAAAGTCTGTGTTTCCTTGTTAATTTTTTGTCTAGAAGATCTATCCAGTGATGTCAGCGGGGTGTTGAAGTCCCCTGCTATGATTGTATTGCTGTTGATTTTTCCTTTGAAGTCCTCCAGAAGATTTTCAATACATGTGGGTGCTCCAATATTGGGTGCATATATGTTCATCAAGGTTATAGCTTCCTGTTGGATAGATCCTTTCAGTTTTATGTAGTGGCCTTCTTTGTCTCTAGTTATGATCTTCATTTTGACATCTACTTTATCAGATATGAGTATTGCTACCCCAGCTTTTTTTCCTTTCCATTTGCTTGAAAGATTTTTTTTCCATCCCTTCACTTTCAACCTATGTGAGTCTTTTGTTGTGAGGCGGGTTTCTTGTAAACAACATATATGTGAGTCATGCTTTCTTATCCAGTCAGCTACTCTGTGTCTTTTTATCAGAGCATTCAAACCATTCACATTTAAGGTGATAATTGATATGTACTTATTTATTGCCATTTTTGTTTAGTGTGGTTCTATTTTTGTTTCTATTTCTTCTACTAATTACAGCAGTTTTTTTTAGCATATCTTGCAGTGCTGGTTTGGTGTTAATATATTCCCTTAGCCTTTTTTGGTCTGGGAAACTCTTTATTTGACTTTCTATTTTGAATGATAGCCTTGCTGGATAGAGTAGTCTTGGATTCAGATCCTTGTTTTTCATGACCTTGATTGCTTCATGCCACTCCCTTCTGGCCTGTAGTGTTTCTGTTGAGGAGTCAGCTGAGAGCCTTATGGGGTTTCCTTTGTAGGTAACCTGTTGCTTATCTCTTGCTGCCTTTAGGATTCCCTCTTTGTCTTTAATTTTTGGCATTTTAATTACTATGTGTCTTGGTGTGGGCCTGTTTGGATTCTTCTTCCTTGGGGCTCTCTGTGCTTCTTGAACTTGAACACCTTCTTCCTTCATCAAGTTAGGAAAGTTTTCTGTCACTTTTTCTTCACATATATTCTCTAACCCTTGCCCATTTTCTTCCTCTTCAGGGACTCCTATGATGGGAATGTTATTACATTTCCAGTTGTCTCACAGTTCTCTTAAGCTATCTTTGTTTTTTTCTTCAGTGTTTTTTCCTTTTGGTTTTCTGATTGGTTGATTTTTTTCTACCCTGTCTTCTAATTCACTGATCTGGTCCTCAGCTTCCTCTACTCTGCTGGTTAGACCTTCCGGTGTGTTCTTAATTTCTGCTATGTCATTCTTCATTTTTACTTGGTTGATTTTCAGTGTTTTTATATCTTTACTCATAGTGCTGATGTCTTTACTCATGTTGTTGATCTTCCTCAAGATCATGGCTCTGAACTCTACCTCTGATAATTTGCATAGTGGCATTTCATTGATCTCATCTTAGATAGAGTTCTCTTGTTCTTTCATTTGGGATTTGTCATTTGTTTCTTTGTTTCTCAGTGGGTTTTGGAACCTGCCAAATTTCCCTGTGGGTGTGGTGTTTGTGGCTCCCTCTACTGGGTTTGGATGAGCCTGGTTGGGCCCAGGTTAAACACCACTGTCAAGTCTTACTTTCCTGGGTAGATTTGCAAGCCCAGGAAAGGTTCAGTTATCCTCTAGCTTTTTCCTGGTGGCTAATAGCCTCAGTTACTCAGTACCTTGGAATGTAGACCTGGTGTTCTGCATAGGAGGATTTCCAGAGGGTGGGATAGATGCTGGTTGTTAAGGAGCATCAGTTTGCATTTCTTTGTCTCACCTGGTAAAAGCTGAATCTCGTTGGGGGTGGGGAGGGACTGCTGCTTTTCCCCACAGCTCAGGGAAGGAGTACACTGGCCACCGTCCATTGTGGCCACAACTCAGCAAAAACTCTTGAGTGCCCTCCAAATCCCGAGTGTCCTCACAGAGTTCCAGCCCAGTCTGCCCTCCCTCTGTCATAGCCCCCAGGTGAGTGGCTATGGCTGTTTTAGCACTCTGTCCTGGCTCTCTGTGCTGAGGAGCAGGCTTGGTCTTTATTCCCCAAGGGTGCTGCTCATAGCTAAGACTGCTGCTATCTGTGGACTCCCAACCCACCACCCTCTCGCGCATCCGCAGATCCTACCAGTGTCGCTGGTTATATGGTCCTATCCTGTTGCTTTTCTCCGAGGATTTGTCTTTATTTTAGTTGTAATTTCCATTTGGTCCTGGGAGATCGTCTGTGTAGCTTCCATTCACTCCACCTCCATTTTCACATCCTCCTCTCACAGTGTTTATAGTCATGTTTAGGTAACCCAGCATTCAACTTGGGGCAGATATCATTAATTTCAAGCAAACAAAATATTACAAAATTCAGATAAACAGTGATAAACTACTTATAGTCTTATATATACCATTAGTGGCTAAATACAGCCAAACCTCGTTTTATTGCACTTTGCTTTATTACAATTCACTGATGTTTCGTGTTTTACAAATTGAAGGCAAGACCCCCCCACCAACAATAAGATTACAAGACTCACTTTATTGTGGTGGTCTGGATTTGAGCCTGCAATATCTCTGAGGTATGCCTGTACAGTGAAGACCAAAATCATTGGTTTTAAAGTTCACAAAACTGAGGCTAGAGTGGATGACAACAAGAGTTTGAATAGAAAGAACATGATGCCAAAGTTGCCACAATAACTGAATATGGAGTCGTGGCCAGAGGTCATTCATTAGATCATATAAGGAGGAATGGTAGAGAACTGTCTAGAAGGTGTTGGTGTGAGCCTCAGAAGAGGAGGCATTTATTGCACAAAGGATCAAAGTACAGAGTATCATGATCTTAGTAAAAATATTTTATTTTAAAAAGTCATGGCCTACCCCGGCTGGTATAGTCAGTGGATTGAGTATTGTCCCGTGGACTACGAGGTCCCAGTTCGATTCTGGTCAGGGAACATGCCCGGGTTTTGGGCTCAACCCCCAGTGGGGGACATGTGGGAGGCAGCCAATTGATGTTTATCATATTGATATTTCTATCTCTCGCTCCTTCTCTCTCTAAAAAATCAATAAAAAAATATATATATATATTTTTAAAAAGTAGTGGCCTGGAAGCAGTCAAGATTGCTAAGAGAAAGTAGGTGCTGACTCCTAGTCCTCGGATAGCAATAGCATGAGGGAATGAGTTAATACCTATTCAAGGAATTGCAAACAAAACAGTATCACAGGACTGCCACCCATAGTTATGCACTTGCGAAGAGGCTGAAATCTAGTACAGTCCTTTTGCTAAACTGGGTCACAGGGCTTTGTTGTCCTAGATGAAGGGGTGCCATAAAAGCACCAGCCGCCCTCTCTCCCTCTCCCTCCCTCTCCATGTCTCCCTTCCTTTCTCCCTCTCTCCCTCCCTGCTTTCTTTCCTCCCTTTCTCCCTCCCCATCTCTACCCCTTTCTCTGTCTCTCTTCCTCCCTCTCAAAAAGAAAAAATACCAGCCCTATTCAGGGACTCCCATGGGAGCTGTTTATACCTCTAGGGTATGTCTTCCAATTTCATGTAGATACCAGTTGAATAGGACACTAAGGTTCTGGCAATGTACTCAATGTGAAGACAGATTAGTTAAGACTAATAGGTTGAAGGAGTTCTTTAAATAGATAATGGGTGTAGAAGGGTCCAGTGACATGGTATTAAACTCAGAAGGAGCACAGTTTAAGGGAAGGTCAACGTTAGATATGTAAGTAAGGAGAGAAAACAGGAGAGAGTAGAGAGGATTAAAAGGGCCAGTGTGTGTCTCTAATTGTAGAATATTAATAGGATCATGTTATGTTTTAAAAAGTAGTCTTGGCTATGGTGTTACAATATGTTAGATGTTGTGAAAAACCTAATCAAGCATTAAAGTTTTTTTTTTTATCCTCACCCGAGGACATTTTTGGATTTATCTTGAGATAGAGTGGGAGGCAGAGAGGGAGGAAGAGAGAGAGAAACATGACTGAGAGAGATATATCGACTGGCTGCCACCCACACGACCACAACCAGGGCCGGGAACAAATTGCAACCGAGGTATATGCCTCCAGCGGGAAATGAATCCGGCACTCTATGGTCAGCAGGCCAATGTTCTAACCACTGAGCAAAACCGGCCAGGGCATGCATTAAAGTTTTTTATGTACATTTGCCCTGGCCGGTTTGGCTCAGCAGTTGGAGTGTCGGTCCGCGGACCAGAGAGGCCTGGGTTCCCTTCCCATTAAGGGCAGGTACCTCGGTTGCAGTTTTTCCCTGGCCCTGTTTGGAGTCGTGTGGGTGGCAGCCACTTGATGTGTCTCTCTCACGTCGATGTTTCTCTCTTTCTCTTCCTCCCTCTCTCCCTCCCGATCTATCTCAAGATAAATGCAAAAATATCCTCAGGTGAGGATAAAAAAAGTTTTTTATGTATATTTGTTGTGATATGTATAAACTTAAACTGTCAAGTAAGGTAATGTATTATTATTTATAAATCAATGATAAGATTCTATTAAAGAAATTTTGTTTCTGTCCTGGTAGTATGTTATTTCTTGATTTTGACATTTCAGGAAAAAAATAAAAATAGTGATAAAGGAATTGAACCAGAAAAACAGAAAGCAAAAAATATCCAAGAGCAAAATTCATCAGGATCAAATGAAGAAAAGTCCAAAGCTCATAAAAAATCAAACCCATATGGAGAATGGCAAGAAATTAAACAAGAAGTTGAGTCTCAGTAAGTACCTGAAATATAATCCCACTATTATTACAAGTATTTTATATTCAGAATTTCAGTAAATTATAACAACTACTTTGAAGGATAAAGTTCTCATTAAAAGTATAGCTCATTTCTTACCAGAGCAGTTTTATTTTTTCTAATATTTTAAAATGTGAGGTTAGTGGTTATATTTAAAAGTAAGCTAATGATTGTTTTCATTTGTTCCAAAATATGACATTTGTATTGACCACACATTCACACAGTAACTCAATTATGCATACATGAGCATTGTCATACTCCCCATCATCATTCTGTCAGAGAAACAAATATCTGCATATTGAATAAATGCTGCATATTATACATCTTAAAGCAAGAAAACAAAACCTCTGTTACTGTCTTCAAACTGGCTTATGAAAAAGTTCAACCAAAGTTTTTAAGCCAGTCTCAAAAAAACAACAGTTTTATCAATTGAACAAGATTGTGGTGAAATGCTATCTTGTTTGTATTATTAGCTTATGTGTTCATATCATTTATTGTCTTAGAGGCATTTATGCAATGAAAGGAAGATGTCACTACTAGCTTCACAGATTAGTGTTTCTTAACTGCTTAAAACAATCTTCTGGTGAAAAATCAAAAAGTATCTGCTAACTACATTAGTTAAGCACTTATTCTCCAAAACATTAATGCTTTGAAATGGTATATAACAGAAGACTAGTCTGTTGATAATTGAAAGTATTTATTGTTAGAACTGTATTTTTTGTTGTTGTTGTTGTTACAGATGTTTCTCCTTTTTTACCCCATTGACACCCTCCTCCTCTCCTTCCCCCGCCCCCGCCCCGTCCCTGGTTTTATTGTCCATGTCCATTAGTTATGCATACATGCATATAAGTTCTGTGGTTTATCTCTTCCCAGCCCCCCACCCCCTCTTCTGAGGGATGTTAGTCTGTGCCCTACTTCATGTTTCTGGGTCTACCGTATTCCTTAGACTGTTATGTTCATTATATTCCGGCTAGAACTGTATTTTAATGCAAAGGTATTTTTTCACAAGATAGAGTAATGCAAGTTTTAGACAGCTTTATATACTGTTTCTAATTAGAATTGATTCCCTAGGGATAACACACCATACTATAGCTTATAGAACTACTATTAAAATGTTACTATGGCCCTGGCTGGTTTTGCTCAGCAGTTAGAGCATTGGCCTGCAGTCCAGAGAGACCCAGGTTTGGTTCCCGCTAAGGGTATGTACCTTGGTTGCAGTTTGTCCCTGGCCCTGGTTGGGTTGTGCAGGTGGCAACCACTCGATGTGTCCCTTTCACGTCGATGTTTCTCTCTCTCTCCCCCCCTCCCCCCTTCCCCCTCTATCTGAACAAAAAATGGAAAAATGTCCTTGGGTGAGGATAAAAAAGAAAAGAAAAGAAAATGTTATTATGATGTATTTTGGTCAAGATGGTGGCATAGGTAAATGTACTCAAATCTTCCCACAACCACATCAGAATTACAACTAAACTACAGAACAACCATCATTCAGAACCACCTGAAATCTAGCCAAACAGGAGTCATACAACTAAGGATATAAAGAAGCCACATTGAGACTGGTAGGAGGGACGGAGACCTGGAATGGGCTGGACCCACACCCACATGTGGCTGGAAGGGGTATCTCAACTTCAGAGATCCTCCCTAAGGAGCCAGGGGTCACAGTCCCACCCTGGGCTGCCCACCCCAGGGTTTAGTGCCAGGAAGAGAAGTCACCATAACTTCTGGCTGCCAAAACCAGCGAGGATTGTGGCTGAGTTAGATGGAGAGCTGCTATAGTCCCAGGCTTTTTTTTTTTAAAGGGCCCATGCACAGACTTCCTTGGTTCACTCACTTACAGCTACAACATAGGGGCAGCTGCTCAAAAGGCACCAGGACATATATGGAGAAACCGAATTGTCTGCAATTAGGGCAAGAGCTGGAGGGGTAGCTTTCTCATACAGCTGTACTGACAGAAGCCATTTTTCCTTTTCTGAACCCTCCCACCACAGATCTAGTAGGTGGGCACCATATCTGAGTCTCCATCAACCTGGCTATCACTGTTCACCCTGCCCTAGTGATTCCCTGAGAGCCAGACCCACCCAACTTGAAGGCCCATCCAAGCTGTTTGTGGTGGCTTTTCCATATGAATGACCTGTTGTGGCTCATACCTCAGACTTTACTAAAATTTCTGAAGCAGCTTCTGGTCTCAGCATGCCCAGTGCCTGTTGCTAGGTTGTCACAGACCCATCAATAGCAGCAGCTGGTCTTGGTTTGCAGATTGGCCTCGCCTGAGCACCTCCAAACCCAGCACAAGTAGCATCCATTGCAGATCGTTTTGTAGCTCATGCCAATGGCCTCAGGCAGAACATAGGCAGTGGCTGACTTTGGCCTACACCTCCTGGGAGACCCCAGAGCCACTATACTTGGTTCACAACATCAGACCACGTCAAAGCACCACCCAACTGCCTTTACAAGCAACACACTCAAGGGATGAACTCAGCAGGCTCCAGAGCCCCACTGAAGTAAGTCCTGTTCCATGGAGTGGGCCTGTGTACAACTGATTGTCCACCGTGGTCACAGCCAGTTCTTGCAGCTCATTGGCCTAGGGGTAAATCGCTCCTATTGACATGCCAGCAGGTTCAACTACAACACAAGGGTATACACACAGTGGGAGGATGGGGGAGCACACCTGGAGTGCCCAGCTTGGATGAATGGAAAGGCTGTGCCACTGGACACCTACTATATAAGTCCACTTTACCAAGCACAGGAGATGTAGCAGCTCTACTTACTACATAGAAATAAACACAGGGAGGCAGCCAAAATGAGACAAACATATCCCAAATGAAATAACAACAAAACTTTAGAAAAAGAAAAAATAGAAACAAGCAATCTACTAGATGCAGAGTTCAAAACACTGTTATAAGGATTCTCAATGAAATCGAGAAGAGTAGATGAACTTAGAATTTCAACAAAGAGACTGGAAACATAAAAACAACTAGAAAACATAAAGAACCAGTCAGTAGTGAAGAATACATTAACCAAATTGAAGAATATACATCCTGAGAATCAACAGTGGGGTAGATGAACAAAGATTTGGAAGATAAGAAGAAAACACACAATCAAAACAGCAAGAAGAATCCCCCAAAAAGGGATAGTATAAGGAGCCTCTGGGACAACTTCATGCATACCAACATTCATGTCTGGGGGTGCCAGAAAAAGAGAGAGCAAAGAATTGAAAATCAGTGTGAAAAAATAATGATGGAAAACTTTCCTAACTGGTGATGGAAATAGACATACAAGTCCAGGAAGCACAGAGAGTCCCAAACAATATGAACCCAAAGAGGCCCACTTCAACACATAACATAAATAAAATACAAAAGGTTAAAGAGAGCATCTTAAAAGCAGCAAGAGGAAAGCAGTTAGTTACCTACAAGGGAGCTCCCATAATACTGTCAGCTGATTTCTTGACCAAAACTTTGAGGCCAGAAAGTATTGGCAAGAAGTATTCAAAGTGATGAAAAGCAAGGATCTGTAACCAAGATTACTCTCCCCAGCAAAGCTATCATTTAGAATTGAAGGACAAATAAAAAGCTTCCCAGACAAGAAAAAGCTAAAGGAGTTCATCACCACCAAACCAATATTACATGAAATGTTAAGGGGTCTTCTTTAAGAAGAGGGGGGCGCCTGGCCGGTGTGGCTCAGTGGTTGAGCATCAACCCATGCACCAAGAGGTAGCTGGGTCCAATCAGTATGGGTCAGTGGCTGAGCATCGACCCATACACCAAGAGGTTGTAGGTTCATTTCCCGGTCAGGACACATGCCCAGGTTGTGGGCCTCATCCCCAGTGGGGGGCATGCAGGAGGTGGTCAGTCGATGTTCTCTCTCATTGATGTTTCTCTCTCTCTGTTCCTCTCTCTTCCTCTCTCTCTAAAATCAATAAAGGAAAAGAAATTTTTTAAAAGATCACCGGATCAATTTCTGGTCATGGCACATGCCCAGGTTGTGGGCCCAATCCCCAGTGGGGGGCATGCAGGAGGCAGCCAATTGATGTTCTCTCTTATTAATGTTTATATCTCTCCCTCTCCCTTTCTCTCTCTAAAATCAATAAAGAAAAAATATTTTTTTAAAAAAGGAGGAAAAATATGAATAATAAAATGGTCATAAATATATATTTATCAACAATTGAATCAAAGGAACAATGAACAAGCAAAACAGAAACAGACTCATAAATACAAAGAACATCTTTTTTAATCAACACCTGAGGATTTTTTTGCTGGGAATCTTTCGTAACTATCAGATGATATATCCTGGAGAATATTTCATGTGTGCTTCAGAAGAATGTATATTCTTCTGCTACTGTTGGATGGAATGTTCTGTATATGACTGTTAAGTCCATTTGATATGCAGTATGTTCCAAGTACAATGTTTCTTTGTTGATTTTCTGTTGGATAATCTGTCCAGTGTTCAAAGTGGTTTATTAAAGTCCCCTATTATTGTATTGCCGTCTGTTTCTTCCCTACAGATCTGTTGGTATTTGCTTAATATATTTAGATGCTCCAATGTTGGGTTCATACATATTTATAATTGTTATATCTTCTTGATGACCCCTTTGTCATTATAGTATAATGACCTTCTTTGTCTCTATTTTTGGCTTGGTCTGTTTTGTCTGATTTAAATATAGTTACCCCGATCTCTTTTGGTTTCCTCTTGCATGAAATATCTTTTTCCATCCTTTCCCTTTAAGCCTATGTGTGTCCCTAAATCTGAAGTGAGTTTTTTGTAGGCAGTGTATGGTTGGTTCTTTTTTTTTTCTTCAATCCATTTAATCACTCTGTGCCTTTTGATTGGAGACTTCAGTCCATTTAAATTTAGAATAATTGTGGATTTACCAATGCCATGTTATTGTTTTTTGGCTTTGTAGTTCCCTTTTTCCTTTTTCTCTTTCTTGCTGCCTTCCTTTGTGAATTGATGATTATGCACAGTGGTATGCTTTGATTCCCTTCTTTCATATCTTGCAAATCTATTTTAGGTTTTTGTTTTGTGATTACTGTGATACTTTTGTAAAACTTATATGTATACAAAAGTCTATTTTACACTGATAACTTCGATCACAAACAAAAAGTATCATTTTACTCCCCATTTATGGTTTTGGTGTCACAGTTTACATCTTTATTTATTGTGTATCCATTAACAAGTTGTTTTAGCTAGTCTTGTTTTTAATGTATTTGTCTTTTAACCTTTATACTAGAGTTAAGTAGTTAACACACAACGCTAATATAGTATTTGCATATTCTGAACCTGACTTTGTGTTTACCTTTACTGTGTTTTTGCATATTTTTATATTAGTAATTAGCAGCTTTTCATTTCAGCTTTTAAAACTCCTTTTAACATTTCTTGTAAGGCTGAATATGCTCATATTTTGTTGTTGTTGTTGTTGTTAGGGAAAGTTTTTATCTTGCCTTCATTTCTGAAGATACCTTAACTGGCTAAGTATTCTTGATTAGCATTGTATTTCTTTCCTCGCTATATCATCATATTCTCTTCTTGCTTGCATTGTTTGCTGAGATATTCTCTGATAGCCTTATGAAATTTTCTTGTATGAGTAAATTTTTCTTATCTTGCTTTTTAAATTCTTTGTCTTTGATTTTAGACAGTTTTATTAAAATGTGTTTTTGAAGAATATCTTTTTGGATTGCAATTTTGAGATGACCTATATCAGCTTCAACATGGATGTACAAATCTATCCTCACTTTTGGGAAATTTTCAGGCATTATTTGTAAGCTGGGGGGGGGGGGGGGCAGGAATTACTGACCAGGCCCAAAACACTGGCAGAATTCTGCATCTCCCATTCCTAATCTGTAGAAATTCTTTCTCTAGGATATGTGGTTCCCAACAGGTTTTATACTTCTAGCTGCTAGAAAGTTAAACATAATGATCATTCTGATCCATGTTCAAAAAGCTCATGAATGGGAATTGTGGGTGTGGCATGAATTACTTGCTCTTTCATGGCCTGTTTATTATGTAGAGAATAGAATACTATGAAAGGCTCATGTTAAATAGGTACTGATCTCTAGACTAGTCAACTGAATATTTATACTAGCCATGTGGGTGGTTGAAGGGCTAGTTTCTTTGTTTTTTGTTTGTTAATCCTTGCTTAAGGACATTTTCTTCACTGATCCCTAGATAGAGCGGAAGGGAGGGAAAAGGAGGGAGAGGGGAACATTGATCAGTTGCCTTACACATGATTCCAACCAGGACCCTTTGATCCGCAGGCCGACGCTCTAACCACTGAGAAAACTGGCCAGGGTTGAAGGCTAGATACTTAGTAGAAGGGTACTAGGCAAACAGCCCCATGGAGTCTTTACTACACTAGAACATTGAGATTCCCTGGTTTTCATCTTGTGCTATGTAAGCCCCAAGTCCTTGTCAGTTCATGGCAAAATCAGTTTCCATAAGTACCTCTCATTTATTCACCTAAGTAATTTAAATAGTTAATCATATATAAGCACAGTATTCTCTTAATGATACATGCTTTGTGCAACAGGACTAAAAGAATAGAAGGGACTTTTCCTGATGTGTCTACCTAAATAAGTGTTCAGCTTCTTAAATAATATGTTTTAAAATTGTTTGTTACGCACTGGTTGGTTTGGCTCAGCGGTTAGAGCGTCAGCCCGCGGACCAGAGAGACCTGCGTTCCATTCCGGCTAAGGGCATGTACCTCGGTTGCAGCTTGTCCTCGGCCCCAGTTGGGGTCATGTGGGTGGCAGCCACTCGATGTGTCTCTCTCACATCATTGTTTCTCTCTCTCTTCCTCCCACTCTATCTGAAGATAAATGCAAAAATGTCCTTGGATTAGGATAAAAATAAATAAATAAATAAATAAATAAATAAATAAATAAATAAATAAATAAATGTTTCTTACTGCAAAATGACTAATTTCTCACTATTAGAAAGATGATCTTGGGGCTTTGGTAAACCCACCAGTTATATGATAATTTGTCTTACCAATTATGTGATAGTTTGTCTTATTCTGTCAAGTAATAGTTTTATTTTTACTTTCTATTCCAGTGAGGAGGTAGATTTGGAACTTCCAAGCACTGAAAATGAGTATATATCAACTTCAGAAGCTGATGTTAGTGGGGAACCCAAAGTGGTTTTTAAAGAAAAAACAGTCACTTCTCTTGGAGTCATGGCAGATGGAGTGGCCCCAGTATTCAAAAAGAGAAGAATTGAAAATGGAAAACCTAGAAATTTAAGACAACGAGGTGATGAGCAATAATTGGAAAAGAGCTTTTGAACATTCTTTTTGGACAGAAGGGAAACTACACATCTTAAAAGCTTCTCTGTGTTATTTCTAAATACTTTAATGCTAAAAATTTAGATTTATTCTAAATGTATTTTATGTAAATTTAAAATAAATCTTTTTTCATATGAAATTTATTTTTGTTCCTAAAACAGAAGCCTACTACCTTGCATTGTATTAGTGTTTAATGTTCAGTGTCTAAAAAATGCTAATTGTCGTAAGATACTATGTGTCTGTTATTTAAAACCTGGAAAACCAAGGCCTTTATTCCATTCTTACTTGTATGAACATATACTTATCCTGCACTGAAAATACATTACTTTCCTACACTGATACTAACTGTTATCCCAGAGGTAAGAATCAGACCAAATAAGAGAAGATTCCCAGCCCATTGATGGATTCAGTTCTGAGATTCCTGTCAAAAGGCTAATGGAGCCTTGGCCAGTTTGGCTCAGCGGTTAGAGCGTTGGCCTGCGGTCCAGAGAGACCCGGGTTCAGTTCCTGCTAAGGGCACGTACCTCGGTTGCAGTTTGTCCCTGGCCCTGGTTGGTCGTGCGGATGGCAGCCACTCGATGTGTCCCTTTTACGTCGATGTTTCTCTCTCTCTCTCTTCCTCTCCCCCCCACCCCCCACTCTATCTGAACAAAAAATGGAAAAATGTCCTCGGGTGAGGATTAAAAAAAAAAAGGCGAATGGAGGAAGTATATGCACGTTGGCTTATGTTGCTCAATTTAAGGTCAAGGACCAAGAACAAGGGCTTGTAGCTCAGGTAGCGTCAGATTGGACAAGTGACTATTTGCTTAGTTCAAGGCAACAACTATTGCTTAAGCATTTTTTACTTTGAGCTATGTATGCTGATAACGGGGGGTATAAAAATAAGACATATCCCTTTCACAACTTCACATTCTAGCTGTAGTCCTTTTCCCCCAGTTATGCGCTCTGTTTAGCAGCCTTATTTATATGTACTGAAAAGTCTTTTTTAAGGTTTATTTAAAATTAATGTAGATGACGACATGAACAAAAAATAGTAAGGTCTCTGGCTTCAGTAAAATTTTTTAGTGTTCCTTTAGACAAAAATTTGTTTTCTGGTTAAATTTCTTTAAAAGTGGAATATTCTTATTTAATCAATTTGAAGTAGATACCTTCTCTTTATTAATCCAAATTCTTAAAATTATATTTTTTATAAATTGTACAGTATTTAACATTGGGTAGTGGATATTGTCTTTTTAAGGTTACTAGTGTATGTGTAAGAAAATGATAGCTTATTAAAGACTTGATGAAAGTAAATTAATATTAGGGTTTTGTTTTGTTTTGTTTCTAATACCTAGAAGAGTCCCCAGAATATTGAAGAGAGAACATTTGGAGATTTGTTTTTTCATTTGTACAATTTAATTATATGGGTATTTCATGAATATGTGGCATTATAAAGAAGTATTTTAGATTCTTTATAGCCCATTTGTCATCTAGGTAAGTAATGTATTTTGTTGCTTGGCTCCTCAATTAGAAAAGATGATAAGACGATAAATGGAATGCTGCTATGTTTTACCCACATTTAGCTTATACAAAATACACAGTGGAAGACTTTTAAAACCACACCTCGTTATATAAAGTGTTTTCTTTGATGCATTCTTTTTATTTTTTATTATCCTAACCCAAGGATATGTTTATTGATTTGAGAGAAAGAGAAACATGGATATGAGAGAGAAATCTCAATCAGTTGCCTCCCCTATATTTCTTGACCAAGGATTGAACCTGCAACCTAGAAATGTATCCTGACTGGAAATCAAACCCACCACCTTTTGGTGTATGGGACGATGCTTCAATCAAACAAGCCCCTGGCCAGGGCTCTATGATGCATTTTTGAAACTACCTTTGTAATAAGACTATTCGTAGAAGCTTGAAGGCAAATCTTAAACTGGTTTGCTCGCAGAGTCTTGACAAACAAAATTTTTAGTAAATGGAATTGTAAAAAATAGTACTTTTCTATTTGCTTTGAAAGAATAAGAAGAGCCCTGGCCGGTTTGGCTCAGCAGTTAGAGTGTTGGCCCACAGACCGAAGAGTTGTGGGTTTGATTCCGGTCAAGGGCACATACCTTGGTTGTGGTATGGTCCCTGGCCCTCACTGGGGTCATGCTGGAGGTGGCCAGTCGATGTGTCTCTCTCACATTGATGTTTCTCTCTCTCTCCCACTCTGTCTGAAAATAAATGGAAAAATATCCTCTGGTGAGGATTTAAAAAAATAAGAGAACCTATCAACTTACCTGGATTTTTTTAGAAGTTGAACATTTGATATCATTTCTGCCTTTACTTTTCCATTGTTTTATATATATTTGTATATAGGTATAGGTGAGAGGTTATAAAAGTTATTTTTTTTAATAAGTATAAAAATCCAAATAGTAGCAAAGTAAAAAAATTTTTAAAGTTCCAGTAATCTCTGACCCCCACCTACCCCACTGTGGGTTTTTTTCCCCTAAGCATGTTAACACTAGGGGTATGTGGGCAACCATTATGGCACTTAAATCTATGAAGTCTGCTCTGGAGGAAATATTCAAAGGAGCATGATCCAAATAGCCAAAAGTGACTTTTGGTTTTTAATGCAGTTTTTATAAATTTTGAGAACTATATTGGCATAACCCTACCTGATTTTTAAGTATTGAAAAACTGTAATAAAATGGTATGGTACTTGTTCACATATAGGCATATCATATGTAAACTGGAGTCTGTTTCTAGGTGACATTACCATACTGATTTCACTGTTGCGTTTTTATAGTATATTTTAATATTTGGTACAGTAGATATCCTCATACTACCTTTCTGTTTCAAATGTTCATACCTATTATTTCAAGTAACATTTTGCCACATTGACACCTCTGCCTCCCCCAAAAAAACCTCTGATTTCATACTGTACCTACTAAGTTAGTAATAATTGCCCTCTTTCTGACATCAACTCTTCTATGAACATTGTCTTTCATTTAGTCAGTTCTTTTATGTCTTCAAATTTTGTAGTTTTCTCCCAATGGGCCCTACACATTTCTTGAAATATCAGCTTCCTTAGGACAAAGGCTTTGTCTATTTTGTTCACACATTATAAGTACATGGCATGTCATGAGCACTTAATATTTGTTGCTTAGTAAATGTATAAAAAAATAATCAGAAGAAAAGTGAGCAAAAAGGAAATACAGATAAATCTACAACAGGGTCCAGCTGGTGTGGCTCAGTGGTAGAGCATTGACCCATGCACCAAGAGGTTGCTGGTTTGATTCCCGGTCAGGGCACATGCCCAGGTTGTGGGCCAAAGCCCCTGTGGGGGGCATGCAGGAGGCAGCCAATCCATGTTCTCTCATTGATATTTCTATTTCTCCCTTTCTCTCAAAATCAATAAAGAAAGAAAAAAATTTTTTTTAATCTACAACTGGAAGATCTTAAGCAGCTTGCTGGCCAGAGAGACTGCCTTTTCCAGGTCTATCCTGTCTTAGCCATAGCAAAGGGCTTACCCTAGAGCATACCTTTAATATACAAACCAACCAATTCCAAGTCCATTGCCCCTACTACCTCCTTATCTAATTCACACACCAAGACATTATTTCTTCTTCCCTGAATCATCCCAGGGCCTGATACCAGGCACCTAGAGACCACTCCTATAGTCCAAAGCCCACTGGAATTATTCAAACTAGCCAGCCTCAAACTGTTTACTGTGCCCTGCCTTGCCTTGCCTTTCCTGCGAAACACCAATAAAGGCTTTGACCTAAGGCATTGGCCTGGTAGCTCAGTTGGTTAGAGCATCATCCAAAATACACCAAGATTGCTGGTTCAACCCCCAGTCAGGAAACATAAGAATCAACCAATGAATTAAGTGGAACAACAAATCAATCAATCTCTCTCTCTCTCTCTCTCTCTCTCTCTCTCTCTCTCTCTCGTCAATAAATTTAAAACATTTTGATTTGTGGTTTTTAAGGCTTTGGCCTAGACTTTCCCCTTACTCCTTCCTGTCTTCCAACAAAATCTGGTGTTTTCCCTGTGGCCCTGTGTGGCATGTGGTGACCTCTCTGAAATCTGTGTATATAATAAAGTTCCTTCCAAGCCTCATTCTGTAGTGGCCACACCTACTTTACCATACCATATCCAACATGTATATTTGTAGAACAATGGATTCAACCTCTATAGGGAGCAATTTATCAAAATAACAAAATTTTAAATTTTGGTATCAGTTAACCATATCTGTTAACTTGGCATTTCCACTTACAGAAATTTGTCTTATAAGTACTCACACATGAGAAGTGGTATGTGTAAGACTAATGTAGCATTATTCCTAAATCAGACATTAGAAACAACCTTAAGGTCTACAATACTGGCTTGCATATATATATGGCTCCTAGCAGGAACCAAACCCAGGACTCTCTGGTCTGTAGGCCAACACCAACCGCTGAGCCAAACCGGCAAGGGCAAAACTGGCTCATTTAAAAGAATTGCTGTGTGTGCTTTTACGGCTAGATCTGCAAGATACATTGTTAGGTAAAAGAGGCAAGATTTAGAAAAGTGTACTGGTTAAAGACAAAAGCTCTAGTGCCAGACTGACTCATTGCCAAGCCGTATTTGTACTTAGACCTTAGTAAGACAGGCAAGTTATTGCATTTCTCGATACTTCCATTTTCTTATCTGTAAAACGGATTTTTTTTTTTTTTTTTTACAAAATAAACAGACGCACAGATACAGAAAACAGAGTGACATCTATTAGAGGGGAGGAGAGAAGCCCTGGAGGCTGGGAGAAAAAGATCGAAGGGATTAAGAGAGAGAAAAAACAAAAACGCCAAAAAACCCCAAACTCATAAAGACAACAGTATGGTGACTACTGAAGGGAAAGAGGAGAAGGGGGAGGTAGAAGAGAGTAAAGGGGTAATACCTGGTGACAGAAGATTTGACTTTGGGTGATAAACACAATACAATACACAGATGATGTATTATAGAATTGTACACTTGAAACCTATATAATTTCATTAACCAATGTACTCCAATAAATTCAATAAAAACTAAAAAAACACACAGGGATATTTTTTAGAGCAGTCTTAGATTCACAGCAAAATTGAAAGGAAGATACAGAGTTTATATATATACACACCCTGTTCCCGCACATGCATACTCTTCCCCACTATCGATATACCTTACCAGAGTGGGACATTGGTTATAACATAGCCAATCATATAAAAAATTATCTATAATATAATCTATAAAACCTATGTAAGAAAACTCATTTTTAATAACAGATTGGGAGGAAGTATGACAAATTGAAAAGTGTACTGTAATCCATCCAGAAGCACACAGGAACATGTAAGTCTGAATTCATAAAATCCTGAGTTCAAGTTATTAGGTGAGAGAAGGCAAGGATCTTGGTTAAGCATTGAAACAGAATATTAGTCCAAAAGCAAATGA